TCAAACATTGCCCTGCTTCTACAACATTTTCTTAAAAGCAGAATCGCGCCATTCGTCCTGGTTTAGTTAGTTGTTATGTGAGAACACGTCCGGCAAAAGTGTGGTCCGGCATCCAGCAAGGCGTGTCGTATGTAAATCACCAGAGATTCCAGTTTCTGTATCCAGGCATGACTAATCTTAAGCACTGCAAGCAATCTCATACTCCGTGCCAACTAGCACATGTTGAGAAGTGGAATGATAGTAACTTCGGTTTTTCGGTGCACCTGGTTGTCAGGAGCACCAGCGGTAAAAAGGAGGGCCCAGAAAACGCTTGGGTTTTCCTGTCCTATTTTTCTGCATGCATACGTCGAATTTTTTCAGGAATCACAACATGGATGTCGTTCAATGCAAGTAAGATTGGGTTACAGGCACCGTTGAAACCTCCCACTGCTCCAACAAACGTACGCCTCTATGCGACTCAACAGGTTGGTTTCCTTTGGGAGTAATTCTTCTTCAGAAATGATGTGCAACTGCGGAACAAAACGCAGTTTAACAATCATTAGAGCTGGCTTTCCAGAGCAAAAAAGTGTTATGTTTCCGTCGAGGCGTGCATTAGCCAGATGATGTTTAGTCGTCTCAGCTACCTTCAGGGAGGGAAAGTTGTTAGCAGACTCGGATGGGTGCTTGTTAAAAGATGCGAGTTCGACTACAGGCGATACTGTAGCTTCACTCTCGCGACATTTTCAGCTAGTCGAGCGTAGTGGGCTGCTTGCCACCACACTGCCTCCTCTCCTCACTCACCCATCTACTTCTTTACAAATCACTAATCTGAGCGAGTCATTACAGAGAGTTCAGAAGCGCCCACAAAACTTCCGTACCTCCGAAAAGGGGCTACCAGCACATCTTTTATCATTATTTTTTTACGCTTTTGCAATCTTTCCTTACCTGACAACTTTCCAGAAAACCGTCGATGGTGCTCGAGCGATCATATCCCTTTTTTGGTCACCTCCACTTCAATGGAATGCTACTCCTTTTCAGTACATAATTAACTGCACAAAGGTCAGACTAATGATACCACCTCCATGTAATCTTAATCGTCAGAGGCATAAGCGATTTTTTTAGGATGATGGTACCACTCAAGGTGGCCCGGTGGGAAGTACCACAACACACATATCCTTTGAAGTGAAAAGTGGCAAGGTATTTATTTGTTCTCTCGGATATGCATTTTTCGAACTTGTAGGAAATCTTCATAAATTTGAAGGTCGAATGTTCCGTGGCAGCCGCCAACGAACCGAATAACATTGGCGAATTCACTCCGAAAATCTCAATAGACAGCAGCGGTAAGCGTCTGATGACCCTGTTGAAGCAGATGGTTTCTCTAATGGACCACTCCAGTATCCGTGCCGCAGCTCTACGAGGTGAGCTATAGGACTGTTAAGGAGCCTAGGGCAGTCCCTCAGGGATTGATACACAAGCACAGGTAGGCAAGGGGGTTAAGAACCGTAAGCGTAGCCGCGTGGCATTGA